AGCTCATTTTAATGTCAAACAGTAGTAAGCACAATCCAGTAACATTATCAAGGCCTATTGTTTATTATTCTCATTGTGGTTTGAGATTATCTACCTTAAAGTTCTCAATGAATCCTCCTCCACCCTCTGGAACACTCCTCCCCCCTTCAGTGAGGGGGATGCTAGGCTGTGACGGCTCTCCCAACATGCATTGGGATAGGGAAGACAGTTCAGACCGCAGTGCTTCCAAAAGAGATGAACGTGTACGTAACTGAGATCATAAAAGGAGAGAAATAGAAGCACAAGTCTTGTAACTTGAGGCTATGACATAAGTGAATGATTAGTTAACATGCTTTGTGTCTGGTTACCTCCAGTCGACTGAATTTCTCAGCCTTGTAGCAAGAGATTTCAGCATTTATAAGTTTGGTCAAGAGGAACTCTCTTAAAACTGAGCCCTGGAAGTGGAAATTCAGAGTATCATCAAGCTTATTTATTCAGCTTTCAGGTGATGTATAAATCTCAATTTCAAATAATTGACCCTTATGACTGGTTTTGTGGTCCAAGGTCACATATAATGATACTTATAAAGGAAATTGAGTAGGTCTATAACCCTGTTTCTTATTTTAGACCGTATAGAAATGAACTGGATTGATGTAATAAAGTTGAGAGCTGTCTTGTTAAAACTTCTGAATTATTATAAGTCATGTGATCTCACCTCTGTAAAAATGGGCGGTGTAGGAAGGGGTGGGCCAAATGGGGGTACATCCTCCCTAGCGGTGACAGATACCTGTCAATCAAACAAGAGGCTTTGGAGCTGTGTGTTGCACAGTGAGTGCTGTGAAATGTAGCGATTTTTTTTCTTTTTTTTTTCTTTTTTACCTGAAATGATCCCCCGTCTCCTCCCTCTCCCTCATTCTCTCTCTTTATCCTCCTCACTGCAATGAAACAGTGCAAGAAGTGGGATCTGATCACATCCGAAATGAAAGGAGTGTTACCCTCCTGATAGACTAGGGCAACAATATCATTCCCAATGTGTCTCTTTCTCTGCAACTGAGGGGAAAAACAGATGAGTAGAGTTGTAATTCAAGGGAAAAAAAGTTGAAGGACTTAACAAAGCACTTATCATTCTACTTCATTGATTGTTCCATTCTGTGATTTAGTAGTAGGGATTTCAGTGACTCTTATTTCAGGCTATATTAATACACCAGTAGGTGGCGACAAATGACTGTCTTTTTGAGTGAATCAAATATTTAACTGAAGTGATATGTTCAGACGCACTATTCAGGAATAAAACAAGTGACTCAACAGATTCGTTCAACCACATTGATTAATTCAGAGACAAAATCACCACTAGTACTGTGTGTTGCTGGAGTGTGGATTGGACTTGGAAATATTGCACTGGCGATGCAAAAATATACAAAGCAGACCTAACTATATACAATATAAGTGTCTAAAACGTAAGTTACCTATTAGTTACTTTTGAATTTTTGCTTAAAATCAATATCACACGCATTCACACGCAGGTTGGTCTGAATATATCAGCATTCATTATAATATGCATTATGGTACAGTAATTTGGTAAAAGATGTTAACAGAACATTTACATCTAATAATACTTTAATCAAATTTCACCTGTTGTGTATCTCCTTCTGTGAACGGTAGTTTAGTGGCAACATGGAACATAATCTCACGTCCATGGAAGGAGGTGAAAACCGCTTCCTTTCCTGTCTGGCCATGAGAAACATCCAGACCTCCCCTGAAACTAGGAGATGGAAAATGATGATGTCCTTTTGACAGGTGACAATCAATTCAAAAGTAGTGTTTTGTTATTAATGTTAATATTGATATTGATAATGATATCAATCAATACTTGAGTCTTAACCTCTTACCCAGTAAATCCTTGCAGTTTGACCGTCTGTCCAAGTATTGATAAAAACTCTAAAAACTCCTCACTTTCCTCATTGTTACTAAGAATATCTTCCTCTGTTAACTACGTAACATACATTGGAACAAAATACAAATATCCATTTAGGCTATTATAGACTGAAGTCCTAGTCAACAAAACATAATGTTTGTAATTAAAGAATCATATCTGCATACCTGTCCTTCTCTCTGGTATAAGACACCAAATTTAAAGTTTTGAGACACTCTGTGTTCATCAAACGCCATTATGATCTCTGGGGCCTTTAGATGCAGAAAGAGAAGACAAGAAAACTGTATTGTGTAAGAAAAAAGATAAATGAAAATTGTATTGATCATGTCAGAAAAGTTTTTACTTTATGAAATTTGTCAGTTTATAAAATCAGAATGGAGTCTTATATTAACTCTTCCACCAGATCATAGTAAACAAATTAGACAAGTGAAGATGTACCTTTAAGTAACTCACAGCCTCAAAACATGTGACACTGACACTTGAGCACAACATCTAAAATAAAGCAAATCAAAACAAATTAAACTTCTATTCACTTTCATTTAAATGTGAATCAGGTAGAACCAGTTGTGCGGTTGTGAAATACCTTTGCCAGCTCCACTGCCGTGGGGAATTGTTGAAAGAGCGAAACAGAGAATGTGCCATGAATTGAGCACTCCTTCATCCTGATTAGATGAAAAAGAAAACTGATCAGGTTGGTCTTGAACAGTCAGTAACTATCATTATAATGAACGACATTTAAGGTGCTCACAAAATACACACCTCAAAATGACTCTCAGGCGATTTTCCTCTTCCTCAAGACAAATAGATAAAACTAGGGGCCCAAGAGAGGAGTCACAGGTGGTGAACGAATGATGATACTGCAGCAAACATGAAAGAAAAGCATGGGTGTGTGAGGGTCTCTTCAACAGGGTTATAAGGGTTTGAAGTTTTTCAAATGAAAAAAAATAAAATAAAAAATTATCACTGACTCTGTGGCGGAAGAATTCCTGATAGACTTTAGCTTCACTGTCTCTCTCCATTATGTCATAGCTCTCCAGACCAAAACCCCCCTGTGAGAGAGTAGGGCTGGTCTCCACATGTCTATCCAGGGGAGGGTCGATCCAATAACCTCCAGATTTAGGGGGCAAGATGAGAGGTAAGCCATCTCCAATCTTTAACAGCCGTGTCTGAGTGATCAATAGTAATTGTGTTAGTGGGAACTTGAAACTGCTCTATCATTCAAAGGTTCTGAGTCAGTAAGATTTTTTTATATTTTTGAAAGATGTTCACCAAGGCTGCATTTATTGCTTATTATGTAAAATATTGTGAAATATTACAATGTAATATTTGCATTTTTTCCCACTGATGTCAAAGCTAAATTTCAGCAGCCATTACTCCAGTCTTGAATAAAAGTACATCTTTCCAAAAAAAAAAAAAAAAATCTTACCGACCTCTAACTTATAATATATGAACAAGTAAATTAGAGTGTTTCTTCAATTACAGGTACTTTTGGCCCTCTGGGACTTTTAGACAAGAAACTATTTTAAATGCATCTCTTTAAATGCTCTTTTAAATGCAACTCTTATACGTGCACTACTAGAATCATTTTTTATAAACATAATTTCCATCACAATGAAACTTCCACCACATCTCATGATCTCAAATTATGTATTGTGTTTAAAAGTATTCTGTGGTGGGAATAGACTAAAACAGTAAAATACATAAAAATTGAAAACCTTGGCCTTCATATATTAAAAATGGTACATAAAAGTGCTTAAAGTTGAAGAAACACTACTTATGATTTCCTAGTTTCCTATAGACTGAAACTATGCCATAAACAAACAAAACGTTTTCGGCTAAAATCCCTACCCTCAGAGGTGGTGGGAACTCACAACGCTGTTCATCCAATCTGCTACCCTGCAGACAAACACAACCACAGAGAAATCATCATCATCACTGCAACAGAACAAGAAAACTGTATTCACACTGTTGTTGTTTACATGGAGAGAGAGAAAGATGATGTTACTTGTAGCTTTTCAATGATTGCAAACAACTCTGTGACCTGCAGAGAAATGAAAAGGGAATGACAGAAACGGTGAAAATGCCACAAAATCAAAATATTACTGATGCAGAATGTGAATTGTCCAGTTTCTCCTCAATGTTTGGAAATGATTAATAATTCAGATATGAAAATCTGGAGAGAACATAATCTCCATAGTGTCATTTTCAACACCTTTAGAACATCTAAAATAGGAGATTTCTTACCTTCTGACTGGACGGTGCAGAAGTGAGTGGCTTAGCCTCACTGGAGGGGGAATCCAAAATATCCAGTATGCTGTGACCCACAGATTCTGCACAGCTGTAACAGAGACAAGTGTTCTGGAAAAGTCTGCATGCGATAACTGAGTTCAAACACCTGAGCACAGCAACAAACCCAAACTCTAGCTGACCTGCTCTCATTTCCAGTGATGAACTTGTCAATCCTGCGTACAGCGTAAAGATGCCACATGACAAGATATCCTTAAGCACTGTGTTCAAATTACAGCAGTGGCTAAATGTTATTTGTCATATCCACTCACCCTCCGTAAGCTCCGAATGTGAAACTTCTTTTCCTGGAGAACAACTTCTCGTTTCTCCCCTCCATGGTAAGTGTTTATTACAGACAGCCACAGAAATATGCTAACCAGGCATGCAGGCCATCACTCCTGAATTAACTGCTTCTCTCTGTCTCTCTGTGTGTGTATGTATCGCTCTCTCTCTTTTCTCTCTGCCCCCTGCCACTCTCTCATTTAATCTCTCCCTACATCCTTCCTTGTCTCCTGCTGCCTGTTGACTGACAGGAGTAACTCTTGCATGCCCATCTTGTGCCACTGATTGCAAACAACTCTGTGACCTGCAGAGAAATGAAAAGGGAATGACAGAAACGGTGAAAATGCCACAAAATCAAAATATTACTGATGCAGAATGTGAATTGTCCAGTTTCTCCTCAATGTTTGGAAATGATTAATAATTCAGATATGAAAATCTGGAGAGAACATAATCTCCATAGTGTCATTTTCAACACCTTTAGAACATCTAAAATAGGAGATTTCTTACCTTCTGACTGGACGGTGCAGAAGTGAGTGGCTTAGCCTCACTGGAGGGGGAATCCAAAATATCCAGTATGCTGTGACCCACAGATTCTGCACAGCTGTAACAGAGACAAGTGTTCTGGAAAAGTCTGCATGCGATAACTGAGTTCAAACACCTGAGCACAGCAACAAACCCAAACTCTAGCTGACCTGCTCTCATTTCCAGTGATGAACTTGTCAATCCTGCGTACAGCGTAAAGATGCCACATGACAAGATATCCTTAAGCACTGTGTTCAAATTACAGCAGTGGCTAAATGTTATTTGTCATATCCACTCACCCTCCGTAAGCTCCGAATGTGAAACTTCTTTTCCTGGAGAACAACTTCTCGTTTCTCCCCTCCATGGTAAGTGTTTATTACAGACAGCCACAGAAATATGCTAACCAGGCATGCAGGCCATCACTCCTGAATTAACTGCTTCTCTCTGTCTCTCTGTGTGTGTATGTATCGCTCTCTCTCTTTTCTCTCTGCCCCCTGCCACTCTCTCATTTAATCTCTCCCTACATCCTTCCTTGTCTCCTGCTGCCTGTTGACTGACAGGAGTAACTCTTGCATGCCCATCTTGTGCCACTGACATAAGAGGTTGGTGAACTACTGCACATATACAGACCAACTAAAAGCCTTTGAATAGATACAATGGTGAATATTCACTCGCTGAAATCGTTTAAAAGCATTTGTGTAGCGTTTATGCAGCCGCTCTAAAAAACCTGCCCTGGGAGGAGGCAAAGATACGTGAATGGGCAATGGACTATTGCTATAGACCTGTTACCCTTTCAGTAAGCAAGATTCATCAATTATTGACCGAACTCTCTTAGAGAGAGGAGGCAAGGCAGCAGGGGAGAGAGGGCAAGAGGGAGGGAGCAGGAAAAAGAGGAAGAGAGAGAGAGGGTCAAGAGACTTTACCGACAAGAGAATAGAGAAATGAAAAAGTGATATTGAGGGGGCTGACACAAAAAAAATCTATATATTTTTCCCTCTCAGACAGGAATCTTTATTCATTTTTGTCTTTAACTGGTCTTAAAACTATTTATTTACATATTGCTTAAAATGTACAGTGGATATGTCATATAAAGTGATTACATGTAAAAGTGTTACAATGCATTTTATTTGTAAAAATTACACTGCAGTATAGTTCCTCAACCTGGAGTTAGTGTAGTCCTCAACCTTTGTCCTTAAACCTAAATAATTTATCTTAAATTTAATGTGTCCTGTCACCCATCTACACATGACATGAGCATTGCATTGTGTTACAAGCAAATAAAGATCAGGAATTTTGCATGCAGATTTCACATTGTGTTCAAGTTGGTCATGGTGTCACATAAATTTGCCCTGCTGACCAACAAAAAAGTGCTTGGTTTGAAAGTGACTTTTGTGTGAGCTACATTACTTCACTTTTGGCAAGCTTTTTTTTTGTTGCAAAAAGTGACTGCACTTTAACTCATTCCATTTACAACGTACTGTATGCGATTCTGCTACTTCCGACAACAGGACAAATGGATTTAAAACTTTGACGCATCCACTGTAGACAGTTTCTGTGTCCGAAAATCTCCACTGTTTTCTCATTCACTGATCCATGTGTCAGTCCACAGTACATCGTCCACTTGAAGGAGTGAATGAAAATGAGTGAATTCAGGCTGCCATTTTTGCATATGTTTTGCTTACTGTTTAATAATCATTTGGCAATTAGCTAACTGGCAAGTTCCACTTGTTAACGATCTTGAAATCTGTCATGGTGGCATTTGCCACAGTGTTGCTATGTGGTTGCTAGGTGTTCTGAATGTTGCTAGGGGTGTTGCTGGGGTGGTTTTTAGGTTGCTTTCTGGCCCCATCAAAAGAGTCCACTACCTTTAGTGCAAGTATGGGGGGATTTTACCCACTTCTATTGGAAAATCCTAACTCCAATTTGCTTAGAAACATAATAGCTTAAAGATTTGGAACCCTGACCCTAAATATCAGCAATAATCAACAAAAATATTTTGTACATTCTTTTTTTAGAAAGGTGTTTTCTTTATATTCAAAACTACATGAATTCCGACTGATATGTGAACAACTGACCTATGGAGAAATAAAACCAGAACTATGTATTTTTATAGTTCCTTATTCTAATAATTCTTGTATTTTAGCACAACATGCACACTGAATTCTCTAAATGTCAGCCTCACTAACAGATTTGAGATTTGAAGATGGAAAAATTATTTGTTTCGTCTCAACACACTGTCCTTAAGATCACATTAAAAAGAAGAAATAAATAACAAAAATGATGATAATAGTAATTGCTACATAACTCCTAGAAGTTATTCTAAGTTCTAAAGCTTGTCTTTCTGGAAGATCAGATTGAGAACAGCCAGGAAACAGGCCAGAACCTCTTCTTCACAGAAAACACGCAGTTCATCAATTTTCTGCTGTATTGCTTCATTCTTTCTCAGGTAATTCCAGTAGAAATCTCTGGGTTCTCGTCCATTCTTGTGGTAGTGTCTGATCACCATGACAGCCCTGTCAGAGGTGAAGCCTTGTGTTTGTTTTGCTGCCCTGTTTAGGATGTACATGTAGGCCTGAACTTGATAATAGTACTCGTGTGTTTCATTCAGTTGTGCATAACGACCACCATTTTTTGGTTTAGTGAAGACTTTGCCCACCATATCTCCAGTGGTTCCTTTACACTCAATCACCATTTTTTCACTTTTTTCCCCTTTTACTTCTGCTAAGAAGTCCAATCTTCCAGAGAGGAATCCAAAGTCTACTTTGTTACTTTTGGTGTATCTCACTCTCATGTTTGTACCAGTTTCTCGCAGCTCGTGGTAGAACTTGAGGCATTCACGTTCATCTCCTGGGTTCTGGAAATATTTGCCGAACTTTTGTGGAGAGGAGGTTGTCCAGAGAGCTGACTCGTCAGCATAGTCGCTGTTCTCAATGTCACGGACATTCACTGTCACACCGGCAGAAATATTTGCAAGATTGTCTCCAACTTCTAAATGTCTCCAGCTCCTTGTCTGTGTTGTAGCATACATCGTGGGTGTGGAGATGGCTTCTGTCTGGTATTTGTCCCTGAACCTGAATCCACAACTTGTGTTTGATACATTCTTTCTCCACTGCGATCTTAGAGCTTCCTCTGAACCTTTTCTTTTTTCAAAGAAAATCATCACTGTGAGTTCAAGAATTTTTCCATTGTCTTTCAGTGGCAGTGAGTTCTTTAGTTCCCGGCAGCCGAGACGTGGAATGCTGTTAAACTGAAGCTTGAAGTTTTCCAGTTCTTTTACAATATCCTGGGCTTTCTGAATGATGCCTGCATTCTCTGAGAGCCTAATGACTTTCTGGTTCAGTACACCATTGGGCAAGTTCATTCGAAGTGACTTTAGAAGTACTAGGTAGTCGCTTACTGATATTCCACTAGTGCTGGTGCTTGAAACAGGCTGAGCTTTTTTAGGCAAAAAAACCCTAGAACGGTGCCCAGATCCTGGTTTTGAACTGCCCCCAAAACCATGCTTTTCTGTTCCTCTTTCATTCTTTCCACCCGGGCTTCCAGTCCAGCCATACCCCATCCTTATTTTCAGTTCTAGCTCGTAAAAGTTGTCATCATCCCGTACCTTCTGTTCATTCAACCAATTTCTCTTCTTCCAGCTCCCATCTTTCAATTCACCCACTCTGGATCTTGAAGGCTCCATGTTATTATCTTTAAAATTCTTTACACCTAGAAAAAAATTTGAATTGGAAAAATTAATGTAATAAAAAAATTAATAAATACAATAAAATAAAATAATAAAATAAAAATGCTATGTACTTTAATACTCCACAACATTAGGCACGTAAAACCTGCAACAAAACATATTTTTCCACCTCAGCCCTTTTATAAATGTAATTGAGTATTTCAGTATAACATTTACATTTAGTCATTTTGCAGACGCTTTTATCCAAAGCAAATTACAATTGGGGAATACATAAAGCGATTCTTCTTAAAGAGGCAAACAGACACAGGAAGTGCTCGTAATACCAACTTTCAGGCATTGTTCAAATAAGTACAAGCTAGAACGGGAAGGAATAAATAAAGAGAAAGTCAAGTTTTTTTTTTTTTTATTTAGGATGAAGTCAAGTAGCGTCGAAAGAGATGAGTTTTCAGCTGTCGCTTGAAATAATAAAAAGATCAAATCAATATGTAATTTGACAAGATTTAATTAAATAGTTCTTTAATTCATAATAATGAAGATATTAACCTGATTATATGATGTTAGGATAAACTAACACTTTAAAAGTCAGAGGACTGAATCATTATTGTATACAAATTACGGCACCTGGAAATTTTCATGTCACACCCTGTCATGTGATCTCTATGCTTTGTTAGTCATAGGATTTGATCTCTTCTTTTAAAATGTTAACATTTCACTTTTGTTTAGCACATCATGATAATCTATATGAACCATTTATGTTTTTTAAATAATTATGTTTGTATAGCAGTATATTTTGTGTATATTTATATACACATGTATATTACACAACAAATAATTGGTTTTGTCCTGACAGTACTAATATTTCATATACATAATATACTGTATATAATACATACCTTCTCTAAAATAGTAGAGAAAATATATACTTACTGAGGTTTTCATCTGATTCAAGCAGTCGAATCATAACAAGACTGTATGCGCATACTTGACTCCCTGTTTTTATGTTGTCAGGTGAGACGTCAGCTGAATAACAGGTCACAGCCCAGATTGCAAATAAGCTCTTTCGTTTTCCATTCACCTGATTGTATGTGTGTTCATATCATGCTTTCATTTTTCTTGTAAATCATTAAATGTCAGTGTAGGTCAAACAAAAATGACTTGCATAAATCTCTTTAAAGATGAACATGTTTCCAATTTCTGAAATAAATGTTTTAAAATTAAATGAATCTGAATAGCTGAATATATGAATTATGAATATGTTTTAAAATACAAATAATATTTGAATTACATTTTGTTTAAAATACTTTTTTTGAAAATTGTGTAATCCTTTAGGCTGTTTATTCTTATTGAATGAAAGAAAGTGAAAGTGTTTTAATGGTTCACCATTTGATTTAGTTTATTTTAATTAATTAATTAATTTATTGTATTTATTTTTGACAAATAATATTTGCATATTATTTGCAAATAACTTTTTATTTGAGAAATCGAAATATTTTATTTTAAATTCAAGAGCTTTGCGTTCGTGTTTTCGCTGGACTTTTTTAATCTATTTTTTGTTTTTTTAATCTATCTCTAACCTGTTTTAGCGTATGTATTGCAAGTGTGTATTTATTTATTCATTGTACAGACAGACAGACATAGATAGACAGACAGACGGACAGACAGACAGACCGATAGATAGACAGACAGACGGACTTTTATTGTGTAATTATATGACACCGCTGCAGACATCTATCTGGCACGTCATTTTTGGCGCCGGAAAAAGAATAGTAAACAGTGCGGGGGGCGGGGTTTCATCGCTTTTTTTGAGCCTCATCACAATCACCGTTGTTTGAAGAATTCCAACAATACTTGCGAAGGCAAAAAATAAACACTGGAACTATATTATATCGATATCATAAGCACCGCGGACTCAACGTTTCCTGCTGGTTGTTTCCATTACGAGAGAGGGAAGCAAAAACAGTGGCGATCGCAGAGAGGTAAAATTCTGTATGTTTGGCACTTTGGGAGTCGCCAACATTTTTGCAGCATCGGATGAGATACTTGGGGTGGACATGGTGTCTATTTTCACCCAGTACATTGCTTCTGCTCGTACACATATGAAAATAAATAAGTGTGCATGGTGTTACTTTGTCTAGAATGCATCGCAACTTGCTGATGTGTGAATATTGCACAGAAATAATGCAGCAGAACCTCGATCATTCATCACTCGCAGATGACCGATAACCTTAACCTTTATTTATTCATTACTAATGCTGTATACATTAAAACTACTTAACACCGTTGGGATATTTTAAAGAGATTCTATCTAAAGATTTGAACAGACTTGAATGTTCTAACAAGTTAACAAGTGTGCCTGTGCGAAAGTGTTCTTCTACTTCATTGTTTTTATTCTAATTAGCTGTTTTAATTCATATTTTATGAAACGGATAAGCATAAAAACGCTTCTAAATCGTTTGTTGATGCATAGTTTTCTCTGGTATTCTGTTACAAAGTTTGATTGACTGGTCGTCCATCCAGTGAGCATGGAGGCAGGAGAAGACCAGACCAACTCCAGCTCAGCCAATAGCAGTGCAGCATCAGGGGGAAACGCCCGCCCCCCTCAAATAGCTCAAATGTCTCTGTATGAAAGGCAAGCCGTGCAGGTGGGTCACAAAGCCACTGCGAAGTCCACAAACAGCCAAATTGAAGTGTCATTTAAATCACTTATTCATGTCAGTGCCACTCTGTGACTTGAATTGTGGGAAATGCAGTTGTCTGTACTCTTGAATATGTTTCCAGGCACTGCAGGCGTTACAGAGGCAGCCCAATGCAGCTCAGTACTTCCAGCAACTGATGCTGCAGCAGCAGATCAACAGTGCTCAACTCCATAACCTGGCTGCTGTGCAACAGGTCAGACACAGTCAGTAAATCATATCAAGCAAGATGAGGGAAAAACAACCAAATTATGCATAATTTCTTTACAAATTTGATCAGTTTTTAAAATCTCAGTCCTGGTGTTTTAACTAGAGGATTCATCATTTTTACCTGGTTGGGTAAATTAAGTATTTAAGTAAATCAGCAAGGACACATTCAATTGATAAAAAGTGACAGTAAAGACTTATAGGCCTGGTTTCATAGATAGGGCTTAGGTTAAGCCAGGATTAGGCAATAGGTCAATTAGGAAATTTAAGTCGTTTTTATAAACGTGCCTTAGAAAAAAACATTACTGGTGAGCATCTTGAGACAAAAGTGAAGGGACATGTGGCCTAAGTAATTAGTGCTCTGCATTTATCCCATCCAAAGTGCACACACACAAGCAGTGAACACACACACACACACACACACCGTGAAAAAAAAAAAAAAAAAAATCTTACCGACCTCTAACTTATAATATATGAACAAGTAAATTAGAGTGTTTCTTCAATTACAGGTACTTTTGGCCCTCTGGGACTTTTAGACAAGAAACTATTTTAAATGCATCTCTTTAAATGCTCTTTTAAATGCAACTCTTATACGTGCACTACTAGAATCATTTTTTATAAACATAATTTCCATCACAATGAAACTTCCACCACATCTCATGATCTCAAATTATGTATTGTGTTTAAAAGTATTCTGTGGTGGGAATAGACTAAAACAGTAAAATACATAAAAATTGAAAACCTTGGCCTTCATATATTAAAAATGGTACATAAAAGTGCTTAAAGTTGAAGAAACACTACTTATGATTTCCTAGTTTCCTATAGACTGAAACTATGCCATAAACAAACAAAACGTTTTCGGCTAAAATCCCTACCCTCAGAGGTGGTGGGAACTCACAACGCTGTTCATCCAATCTGCTACCCTGCAGACAAACACAACCACAGAGAAATCATCATCATCACTGCAACAGAACAAGAAAACTGTATTCACACTGTTGTTGTTTACATGGAGAGAGAGAAAGATGATGTTACTTGTAGCTTTTCAATGATTGCAAACAACTCTGTGACCTGCAGAGAAATGAAAAGGGAATGACAGAAACGGTGAAAATGCCACAAAATCAAAATATTACTGATGCAGAATGTGAATTGTCCAGTTTCTCCTCAATGTTTGGAAATGATTAATAATTCAGATATGAAAATCTGGAGAGAACATAATCTCCATAGTGTCATTTTCAACACCTTTAGAACATCTAAAATAGGAGATTTCTTACCTTCTGACTGGACGGTGCAGAAGTGAGTGGCTTAGCCTCACTGGAGGGGGAATCCAAAATATCCAGTATGCTGTGACCCACAGATTCTGCACAGCTGTAACAGAGACAAGTGTTCTGGAAAAGTCTGCATGCGATAACTGAGTTCAAACACCTGAGCACAGCAACAAACCCAAACTCTAGCTGACCTGCTCTCATTTCCAGTGATGAACTTGTCAATCCTGCGTACAGCGTAAAGATGCCACATGACAAGATATCCTTAAGCACTGTGTTCAAATTACAGCAGTGGCTAAATGTTATTTGTCATATCCACTCACCCTCCGTAAGCTCCGAATGTGAAACTTCTTTTCCTGGAGAACAACTTCTCGTTTCTCCCCTCCATGGTAAGTGTTTATTACAGACAGCCACAGAAATATGCTAACCAGGCATGCAGGCCATCACTCCTGAATTAACTGCTTCTCTCTGTCTCTCTGTGTGTGTATGTATCGCTCTCTCTCTTTTCTCTCTGCCCCCTGCCACTCTCTCATTTAATCTCTCCCTACATCCTTCCTTGTCTCCTGCTGCCTGTTGACTGACAGGAGTAACTCTTGCATGCCCATCTTGTGCCACTGACATAAGAGGTTGGTGAACTACTGCACATATACAGACCAACTAAAAGCCTTTGAATAGATACAATGGTGAATATTCACTCGCTGAAATCGTTTAAAAGCATTTGTGTAGCGTTTATGCAGCCGCTCTAAAAAACCTGCCCTGGGAGGAGGCAAAGATACGTGAATGGGCAATGGACTATTGCTATAGACCTGTTACCCTTTCAGTAAGCAAGATTCATCAATTATTGACCGAACTCTCTTAGAGAGAGGAGGCAAGGCAGCAGGGGAGAGAGGGCAAGAGGGAGGGAGCAGGAAAAAGAGGAAGAGAGAGAGAGGGTCAAGAGACTTTACCGACAAGAGAATAGAGAAATGAAAAAGTGATATTGAGGGGGCTGACACAAAAAAAATCTATATATTTTTCCCTCTCAGACAGGAATCTTTATTCATTTTTGTCTTTAACTGGTCTTAAAACTATTTATTTACATATTGCTTAAAATGTACAGTGGATATGTCATATAAAGTGATTACATGTAAAAGTGTTACAATGCATTTTATTTGTAAAAATTACACTGCAGTATAGTTCCTCAACCTGGAGTTAGTGTAGTCCTCAACCTTTGTCCTTAAACCTAAATAATTTATCTTAAATTTAATGTGTCCTGTCACCCATCTACACATGACATGAGCATTGCATTGTGTTACAAGCAAATAAAGATCAGGAATTTTGCATGCAGATTTCACATTGTGTTCAAGTTGGTCATGGTGTCACATAAATTTGCCCTGCTGACCAACAAAAAAGTGCTTGGTTTGAAAGTGACTTTTGTGTGAGCTACATTACTTCACTTTTGGCAAGCTTTTTTTTTGTTGCAAAAAGTGACTGCACTTTAACTCATTCCATTTACAACGTACTGTATGCGATTCTGCTACTTCCGACAACAGGACAAATGGATTTAAAACTTTGACGCATCCACTGTAGACAGTTTCTGTGTCCGAAAATCTCCACTGTTTTCTCATTCACTGATCCATGTGTCAGTCCACAGTACATCGTCCACTTGAAGGAGTGAATGAAAATGAGTGAATTCAGGCTGCCATTTTTGCATATGTTTTGCTTACTGTTTAATAATCATTTGGCAATTAGCTAACTGGCAAGTTCCACTTGTTAACGATCTTGAAATCTGTCATGGTGGCATTTGCCACAGTGTTGCTATGTGGTTGCTAGGTGTTCTGAATGTTGCTAGGGGTGTTGCTGGGGTGGTTTTTAGGTTGCTTTCTGGCCCCATCAAAAGAGTCCACTACCTTTAGTGCAAGTATGGGGGGATTTTACCCACTTCTATTGGAAAATCCTAACTCCAATTTGCTTAGAAACATAATAGCTTAAAGATTTGGAACCCTGACCCTAAATATCAGCAATAATCAACAAAAATATTTTGTACATTCTTTTTTTAGAAAGGTGTTTTCTTTATATTCAAAACTACATGAATTCCGACTGATATGTGAACAACTGACCTATGGAGAAATAAAACCAGAACTATGTATTTTTATAGTTCCTTATTCTAATAATTCTTGTATTTTAGCACAACATGCACACTGAATTCTCTAAATGTCAGCCTCACTAACAGATTTGAGATTTGAAGATGGAAAAATTATTTGTTTCGTCTCAACACACTGTCCTTAAGATCACATTAAAAAGAAGAAATAAATAACAAAAATGATGATAATAGTAATTGCTACATAACTCCTAGAAGTTATTCTAAGTTCTAAAGCTTGTCTTTCTGGAAGATCAGATTGAGAACAGCCAGGAAACAGGCCAGAACCTCTTCTTCACAGAAAACACGCAGTTCATCAATTTTCTGCTGTATTGCTTCATTCTTTCTCAGGTAATTCCAGTAGAAATCTCTGGGTTCTCGTCCATTCTTGTGGTAGTGTCTGATCACCATGACAGCCCTGTCAGAGGTGAAGCCTTGTGTTTGTTTTGCTGCCCTGTTTAGGATGTACATGTAGGCCTGAACTTGATAATAGTACTCGTGTGTTTCATTCAGTTGTGCATAACGACCACCATTTTTTGGTTTAGTGAAGACTTTGCCCACCATATCTCCAGTGGTTCCTTTACACTCAATCACCATTTTTTCACTTTTTTCCCCTTTTACTTCTGCTAAGAAGTCCAATCTTCCAGAGAGGAATCCAAAGTCTACTTTGTTACTTTTGGTGTATCTCACTCTCATGTTTGTACCAGTTTCTCGCAGCTCGTGGTAGAACTTGAGGCATTCACGTTCATCTCCTGGGTTCTGGAAATATTTGCCGAACTTTTGTGGAGAGGAGGTTGTCCAGAGAGCTGACTCGTCAGCATAGTCGCTGTTCTCAATGTCACGGACATTCACTGTCACACCGGCAGAAATATTTGCAAGATTGTCTCCAACTTCTAAATGTCTCCAGCTCCTTGTCTGTGTTGTAGCATACATCGTGGGTGTGGAGATGGCTTCTGTCTGGTATTTGTCCCTGAACCTGAATCCACAACTTGTGTTTGATACATTCTTTCTCCACTGCGATCTTAGAGCTTCCTCTGAACCTTTTCTTTTTTCAAAGAAAATCATCACTGTGAGTTCAAGAATTTTTCCATTGTCTTTCAGTGGCAGTGAGTTCTTTAGTTCCCGGCAGCCGAGACGTGGAATGCTGTTAAACTGAAGCTTGAAGTTTTCCAGTTCTTTTACAATATCCTGGGCTTTCTGAATGATGCCTGCATTCTCTGAGAGCCTAATGACTTTCTGGTTCAGTACACCATTGGGCAAGTTCATTCGAAGTGACTTTAGAAGTACTAGGTAGTCGCTTACTGATATTCCACTAGTGCTGGTGCTTGAAACAGGCTGAGCTTTTTTAGGCAAAAAAACCCTAGAACGGTGCCCAGATCCTGGTTTTGAACTGCCCCCAAAACCATGCTTTTCTGTTCCTCTTTCATTCTTTCCACCCGGGCTTCCAGTCCAGCCATACCCCATCCTTATTTTCAGTTCTAGCTCGTAAAAGTTGTCATCATCCCGTACCTTCTGTTCATTCAACCAATTTTTCTTCTTCCAGCTCCCATCTTTCAATTCACCCACTCTGGATCTTGAAGGCTCCATGTTATTATCTTTAAAATTCTTTACACCTAGAAAAAAATTTGAATTGGAAAAATTAATGTAATAAAAAAATTAATAAATACAATAAAATAAAATAATAAAATAAAAATGCTATGTACTTTAATACTCCACAACATTAGGCACGTAAAACCTGCAACAAAACATATTTTTCCACCTCAGCCCTTTTATAAATGTAATTGAGTATTTCAGTATAACATTTACATTTAGTCATTTTGCAGACGCTTTTATCCAAAGCAAATTACAATTGGGGAATACATAAAGCGATTCTTCTTAAAGAGGCAAACAGACACAGGAAGTGCTCGTAATACCAACTTTCAGGCATTGTTCAAATAAGTACAAGCTAGAACGGGAAGGAATAAATAAAGAGAAAGTCAAGTTTTTTTTTTTTTTATTTAGGATGAAGTCAAGTAGCGTCGAAAGAGATGAGTTTTCAGCTGTCGCTTGAAATAATAAAAAGATCAAATCAATATGTAATTTGACAAGATTTAATTAAATAGTTCTTTAATTCATAATAATGAAGATATTAACCTGATTATATGATGTTAGGATAAACTAACACTTTAAAAGTCAGAGGACTGAATCATTATTGTATACAAATTACGGCACCTGGAAATTTTCATGTCACACCCTGTCATGTGATCTCTATGCTTTGTTAGTCATAGGATTTGATCTCTTCTTTTAAAATGTTAACATTTCACTTTTGTTTAGCACATCATGATAATCTATATGAACCATTTATGTTTTTTAAATAATTATGTTTGTATAGCAGTATATTTTGTGTATATTTATATACACATGTATATTACACAACAAATAATTGGTTTTGTCCTGACAGTACTAATATTTCATATACATAATATACTGTATATAATACATACCTTCTCTAAAATAGTAGAGAAAATATATACTTACTGAGGTTTTCATCTGATTCAAGCAGTCGAATCATAACAAGACTGTATGCGCATACTTGACTCCCTGTTTTTATGTTGTCAGGTGAGACGTCAGCTGAATAACAGGTCACAGCCCAGATTGCAAATAAGCTCTTTCGTTTTCCATTCACCTGATTGTATGTGTGTTCATATCATGCTTTCATTTTTCTTGTAAATCATTAAATGTCAGTGTAGGTCAAACAAAAATGACTTGCATAAATCTCTTTAAAGATGAACATGTTTCCAATTTCTGAAATAAATGTTTTAAAATTAAATGAATCTGAATAGCTGAATATATGAATTATGAATATGTTTTAAAATACAAATAATATTTGAATTACATTTTGTTTAAAATACTTTTTTTGAAAATTGTGTAATCCTTTAGGCTGTTTATTCTTATTGAATGAAAGAAAGTGAAAGTGTTTTAATGGTTCACCATTTGATTTAGTTTATTTTAATTAATAAATGTATTTATTGTATTTATTTTTGACAAATAATATTTGCATATTATTTGCAAATAACTTTTTATTTGAGAAATCGATATATTTGATTTTAAATTCAAGAGCTTTGCGTTCGTGTTTTCGCTGGACTTTTTTAATCTATTTTTTGTTTTTTTAATCTATCTCTAACCTGTTTTAGCGTATGTATTGCAAGTGTGTATTTATTTATTCATTGTACAGACAGACAGACATAGATAGACAGACAGACGGACAGACAGACAGACCGATAGATAGACAGACAGACGGACTTTTATTGTGTAATTATATGACACCGCTGCAGACA